AGAGATCCCGTATACCACTAACATTGCAACTCTCTTCTCTTCGGTCTAACCCACAAATACCTCTAAACTCAATCGGTTCAGAAACTCTGCAGGCTCGGGATCAATCTCCAGAACCCCCTCCCATCCATCCACATCACCCCTGTTTCTTGCAGCATCCACTGAACCCGGTGCAAAGCTCCGCATTGATACAAAATCCTCCTTGTTATACGTTCTAAGGCCATCCACAACCTTTCCCCTTTCCAAAGTTCATAAACTTTGTGAAATGCTTTCTACAACAAATTCTAATAATTTAGGCCTCCTTGTAAAATTAGAAGCCATAATGGGAAGCCATTGGGTAGTTAAAAACAACAACACATTTGATCTTTGCAAACGGGAATGATGTCTGTGTTTACTTGCATAGATCCGATGAGTGTTTGGAGATGCATTCTAACTGACGTAATTATATCACCCATGACACATATTAATAGCAGGTCTAAACAGGCTCATAGTTAGCCCCCTCTGGAGAAATTATCTACTGTATATCCACAGCAGAGGACTCAGCTGAAGGGAGATTAAAGATATGATTCTACTGCCGTCTCATCTGGCCTTAAGTAGACTGTGGTGAATTATGAATTAATACAGCACAAGCAATTTGTAGAAATAGTAATTTTATTGCCTTAGAAACTCGTTCTATCTTGCTGACAGACACAAAAGTTAAAAGTAAAAAAGATGAACATGAAGATGGAACATGCTGTTTTAAAAATGGCCAGCTGTGTCTTCTCTTTACATCTCCACCTCTCCATCTCCATCTCACTCTCCATGTCCCTGCATCCTCTCTAATTTCGCTCCAAATGAAAACAGACGTTAATCTAAAGATGATGAGGCACAGCACAGCTCTGGCTTACATAATATTTCCTTTTTCATCATTTCTCCCTCTCCATCCGTTCTCTGCATCGCTCTCTCTTTCAGGAAATCTTTAAACACACCCCCACACGCTCACACACCGCTCTCACTTGGCTGGGAGGCAGGATTTAATGTCAATGAAAATCAACCAATTAGCAGTCAGCTTCAAACGGCATTGGAACTATGAGCTCAAGAGTGTGTGTGTGTGGGGGGGGGGTTATGAAAGAGGGGAAATATGGGAAGAGACAGAGAGCACTGAGTTCAAAATTATTTTAAACTCAAAAAGTGTGTAATCATTTCAGAGGCAGAAAATATGTCATCATTTTTGGTGAAAAAGCTATAATGTTAAAGGAATAATCTGCGGGGACAAAGTGGTACTTTATATCATGCAGCCTTCCTCTCGGCTAAATAACTTTGACTGGTCAACTAGCTCCAGTAGGAATGGTATTCTTAATGTCCGCTGAATGCAGGTGGATCCAAATGAGTGTAATAAATTGGATGTAATGTGCTGTGACAAAAACAAATGCTCCTCTTTGGCCATTCCAGGGAAAAATAACAATATGGCTGACCAATCAGATAAGGATTGCCACTGTCTGTTTGGTTTCTGAAGCCATCCTGCATCATCAGTAGGGATGGGTATTGTTAGGACTTTATTGATACCGATATCAACCTTGGTAGTGCTTTTCGATACTCTTATTGATACTACTTGTCATAATTTGGTGAGAAAAATAAAGAAATTATATGAAAAGATATTATGTTATGTTAGGTTAATTTATTTGTATTTTTTGCAGTCAAAAAGCTGTTTCCTGGGTTTTTGCATCTACAGGGTTCCCATTTTTTTACAAGCAGCCTTGGATTAAATAATCATCAAAAAAATGCTGAAGCAGGCTTTTATAGCTGTTCAGAATGCGCACAGAGAACTACATCCTGTACACTATATTGAATCAAGCCCTATTCAGAGGTGGTCAACATTACAGGGGTTGGTGGGGAAGAAAATATTAAAAAACTACATTTTACAATGAGCTGATAAAAATGAAATAAAAGGAGAAACAGCTCCTCCCGTGCAAAAAAACTCCACTTATAAATACAAATGCTCCGTACGGGATTTAAATTACAGAAGGAGCAGTGAGTCTGCAGAGAAACAATCGGTAATTGTGGCTGTGATTATTATGGGATGTGGAGATAATGTTAAAATCACTCCACCTCCCCTAGAGAAATAAATCCAAATAACTCAGCCTGTGAAAACGGTTGTTGTCACCTTGGATAAAATAACCCTGATGATGTCATAGTGATGTAATCAGGGTGATCCCAGCTTGGGCTTGGAGACCTGTCACCCTACAGGGCAGAGGTGTCTGAAAATGAGCAGAATGGAAGGGTCTCCTATAATAAGATACACCATGTTGCACATTGTGTGTGGGGTACAGAGTTTTTGGAGCTTGACCCATAATAGGGACTAAACAGTCAGGCTATCTACGTTTCTACTGCAATGATTTTGATAATTATGTTTATATCTGTCTCTCGCCAGTCCCCTAGCTTTATAGAAGTGCAGGACTAAATTGCTGGAGGCTAAAATCCATCGCTGCAGTGGTATTTTGTAACTGAATCTCAGTGGATTTTGGTTAAAGTTTCCTTCATTCTGGTTCCTAAGTGATATTAAGGGATTACTGTTGACTGATCACAGCTGGATGCAGATAAGCCCACACCTTTTGGTATGAAAATAAATAGTAAAAAAAAGTGAAGTACTCCCAGTTGTTTACAACCATCTGTTGTTGGTAATTTGATGCTGTTTTGGTAAATGAATAAGGGTAAATTAATTTGACCTGTTTAATTTGATCTGATGTCGTTGCTCCGTTGGCAACACATTTATATTCCTTTAATGCAGCTCCTTTGAATTCAGAAGGAAAAAAGGAGCAAGAAAGAAAAGCACCAGATGACAGAATGTAAGTCGCAAAAAGAAACACGGAAAGAGTGATGTTGTTTTCATGTCTTAGTCTTAATGTTGACCCAATTAAATGTGTGCAGCCGGTTGAGCGAGCTGCTCCTTTCTTGGAGATACATATTTTTTAAACGACTGAGGTCATTTGCTCTAAGGAGGAAATTTAATTGCTGATGTTGCTGCACTGAAAAGAGAGATAGAAGAGAGCAACACTCAAGACTGGGAGCTGTGTATGCAATAACTGTTTTTATATGAAAATTGGTAACTTCAATTGAGGCCTTTCCCCACATTTTATCACCAAGGGGTCCATATATAAGCAATATAATCTACTTTTTAAACAGGGCAAACAAACAGTAAAAAAGTTTTCCTTGGTCCATGTTCACTTGTGTCCACATATCTTAAAATAGTCCAACCACAAGAGAGCAGCTCTCGCTGAGCTTGTGATTTATCTGAGTGACAGTGACAGCGGGTTTGATGCACTCAGACAGCAGTATGTAAATGGAAAATTCAGCCATACGGTACGACAGAGAAACATAGCCGTCACAGGCTTTCATTCTTCAAGAACAAATAACTGTCACTTCTACAGCACTTATTTAAACCACAGAAATGAAAACAGGAAAAAACTGTTCTCATAACTAATCTTGCTAAACTGTCCAAGCTTTATTTAGTTTAAGAAAATGCACAGAGGTCAAATTACTGAACCATATGAACTTTATGTGATGTTTAGTCAGCTGTGATGATTTTGTATATATATTGTATATATTGTGTGCATTGATGTGTGCACATATCTCCCAGCAAAATGTCGTTCAAATTATTGGCAGACCATCTCTGTTTATGCTGGTGATTCATTGTGAGAGGCGGGAAGGTGATTTTTTTCTTCCTATTCTCCTTTGCAATCATGGAATGAGCACGGTTCGGAGGCTCACTTTAAAAATGAATTAATTACCTGTTAGAAATGTATTCAGTAATCTAATCCAAGTATCTGTATTTTAACAGAAAACAAGCAAATATAGGCAGTAGCCTATAGGTAGCTGGAAGGCAGAACTTGCACTGCACTGTGATGTTGTTGTTGTTTTCTACTTTCAAGACAAAATAATGGCGACATTTCCACCCAGTTAAAGCATTTTGCATGGTAGTATATTGTTCTTCATTTTTAAATGTATTTATTTTTTTTAAATGCATAATCCCCATTTTTACAATACATCAAAACTTTGGTGATATCTTTTACTTATAGATGTTATTACAAACTATAACTGGGGCTTTTATAAGCCAATGATGGAAACCAGCCAGAGTCATTTAGAGAAGTGTAACACATGAGCTAAACGCTAAGTCCTCACAATGGACTTACCGCCATGAGGATTTTCTTCTCCTCCTCCTTCTCCTGCTGGGCCTCCTCACTCATGGCCTGGTGTTTCTCCTCCAACTCCTCCAGCGCTCTGACCTGCGCCTCCTTGAAGCGAAGCATCTCCTCCTCATAGTGTGCTCTCAGTCTGGAGAGCTCCTTCTCGTAACCCTGGTGCTCCTCACGCAGAGACTGAGGACAGGAAAAGGAGGAGAAAAACACCTTATATGACTCATGACCTGTTACCCCCTTCAGACTGGGACTGGGATTCAGGAATTAACAGTACCTGTTCAAGTTTGAGCACTTGCTGTTTGTGCTGTTCGTTGGCGGCCTGGCTCTGGTTGAGCAGGGCCTCCCTCTCCTCCTCCAGCCTGTTGATCTTCTCCTTCAGCCGGTTCTGCTCCTGGTCCAGGTTCCTGATGGTGGCCTCGTGAGTCATCTGGGTGGCCTGCAGGGAGCCAATCTGACCTAGGAACAGTCGAATCAAAATCACTGATTCAGTCAAAGAGGCACCACAGTCAGCAATCAGAACAAGTCTTACCTGTTCAACACCCTGAATATAAATCTCCACGGCAACCTTTAAGATGGATTTGACATTATTATTGCTTTACTGCTGAGGCAACAGCTTCATCAACATATACTGCAACTGGAGTGGGTGAACAGGAGGCGAGCTTTCTGTTTATCTCCCCAAACGTATCAGCTATTCAAAGGTTCCCGTGAGAAAGACACGCTGCTCATAGAACTTCTGACTGAAATAAGTGGGCAGAAAAAGAAATGTTCAAAACAGAGAAAGTCAAAAGAGAGTTTACATGTCAAATCAGTTATTAAAGGAGGCTTTTGTTCATGGGGCTCTTATTCTGGTTATTATTCATGCGCTTTTACACTACGTGCCACATTCACCCTTTCACACACATTTACTCAGTGATGGCAAAGTCCATCGAACAGAAACTAACTCATTCATACACATTCACACACCAATTTGGGGTTCAGTATCTTGCTCAAGGATACTTCGACATGTGGCGGGAGGAGCCGGGGATCGAACCAACAACCTTCCGATTAGTGGACGACCCGCTCTGC